GAGTTATTTATTAAAAGCGAACTTGGATAAAGTAGGTTCAGGAGATGAGATTAGAGCAATGGTAAAATTAAGGTGCGGCAATTTAGAGGACACAAATAAATATTGGCTTGACGAAGAAGATACGATGTGTAGATTCTGCAAGTCAGGTAAGGACAACTTAGAACATTATACAGGCGAGTGCAATATTACAGGTGGGTGGTTTGAGAATATAGGTAGGAACAACAAAGAGAGATTAATGAACATATGCGATGACAAATTTAGAATGGAAAAAGGCAAGGTGCTAAATAGATTATGGAAAAAGAGAGAGGAATGCTATAAAAACGATAGGAAGGACCCCGTCAAAAATTGTTACGACTGACGGGTGTTGTGCGGATGGATGAGTGCGTTAAGGAACAAATTGTAAACCAAGTCCACTTCTTGGCAGCAGCCGAAGTTAAATAAATATATATATATATTAAATTGATACTTATTTTTTTTTTATTATTTTATTATAGCTGTATATATGATCTAACCTGGATTATTTGCATCGTGTCTATCCCTTACAAAAAGTACATTATAAATATGGTTTTTCTTAAATAATTATTATTCGGTAAATAATGTTACTATTTGTATTTTTAATTTCTTGAAAAGTGAAATCATAAGAAAACATGATAATTAATGCGGAATTTTAACGGTTTTCTTTAAAAATATTATTTTATATTCACTTTAACATTATTTTAGTATTTTTCACTAAATACTAAAATTATAGTTATAAAAGTTAATTAATATTTTTAAGGAAAGACAACAAGATATCGCATTAATTATTATGATTTCATGTAAAATTTAATTTCAAGAAATTAAAAAATGTTACTAAATAGTTATACCGTCACTTATCATATAATGGTAAATTTATACACTCGGAAAAACCCTATAATTGTAGTGTATTTTTCGTAAGGGTTGCCATATATTCGCTAGGATAGATCAGGGGGTCGATTATGAATTTTTTTACACACGTGAAAAGTGACAAATTTCTTCATTGCCTTCTTCTTCTATGTCCTTCGCTAGAAAAAGTAGGCAATGGAGAAATTTTTCACTCTTCACGTGTGAAAAAATTCATAATCGACCTCCAGACTACTCATGTCTGATTGGATCCGGGCAAATACAGATTATTTTTGTCATATTTGACCTCGTCCGCCAGGATCAGATTAGATCTACTCATGTCTGAGTGGATCTGATCAGATATAGATTATTCCTATCCTATCTGACCTCGTCCGCTAGGACCGGATCAGATCTACTCATGTCTGATTAAATCTGATCAGATAGGGCCAATATTTTGATCAAATCAGATCTGAGCGAATTGGATCTGATTTGATCTGATCAGGTCTGTTCAGATCTTTTCCATTTTTTCCCGGGTAGCCTGGATATTTCTGTTGCACTCAATCCCAGTTCCCACATTCGAGTAGGCAATTATTTCGCCTCTTTTCTTTTGCGAAATAGGTCCGGGCATTTTTTTAATACAAATCTCTTTTAATTAAGAATATGATATGTGATATTACTTATATTCACATTACATATTGTTATTTATTTTATTTTACATGGGTATCTTAGCAATTTGAAAATAAAAGAAAATCAGAAGTTAAATATATTAAATGATCAAGGTATAATATACCTCGTATTCACTAACATTTTTATATAATCTGGATAGAAAATTTTACGGAAATTTGTCGGATATTCCCAAAGTAAAAAAAACGAATTAGATAGTAACCTAAGTTAATATAAAAATATTAAATTAAAACCAATATAAAAATGTTAAAATGTTTATTGAATTAATGACAATTAAAGAAAAAGAAAATACAATTTACCATTAAAATATACAATTAAATACAATTAAAATACAATTAAATAAAATATATAATTATACAATTAAATATAATTAAAAATATATACAAACATTTAAATAATACAATTAAAAACAAATACAATTTAAAAATAAAATAAAATTTGTATAATCATAAAATTTTTGCTTGAACAATATTATATATTTTTAAAAAAGAGTAAAGGAACTTTAGGCCAATATATTTTACGAGCGATAAGTAATATGATCGAGTCGATGTTTAATTACAAAGTTCAATGAGCAAAGTAACGTGGAATACATGAATTCGAAGTTCGAGGAATTTTCCTCTCTTAACCCTAGGTTTAGTTAAGATTAAATATAACATTAGATAATAAATAGAAGTTGTTAAATAGCGAAATTTTTAAAATTAACTGACGGATAGTAAATAATTAAACGGACGACGTTTCGACTATACTGAGTCTTCTTCAGCGTATAAATTATGAATGTGATGGCGAGGTTCTTGTCCTGGTCAGGTCCGAGTCGTATTGCACATTAGTACGTGTGAATACCGTATTCGCTAGGTGGACTTAGTGATTTTGTAGGACGATCTGGCCATGAACAGTTTGACAAAAAGATGGAGTCTCATAGAAAAAAATACGAATATTCCAAAACAAGAGTTTCTTAACACCATTAAATTTTTACTAAATTCAACTTATTTTACATTTAACGATACAATCTTTAAACAAACCTTTGGCACTCCGATGGGATCACCAATCTCTCCAATAATCGCTGACTTAGTTATGCAAGATCTAGAGGAGACTGTTCTGCAGGATGTCCATATTTCGATATACTACAGATACGTCGACGATATACTATTAGCTGTGCAACAGGATTCCATAAATGACATCCTGAGAAAATTTAACTCATATCACAACAGACTCAAGTTTACTTTGGAAATTGAACAGGACCGCTCCATTAGCTTTTTAGACCTAAAAATTAACGTACATGACAATAAACTAATCATTGACTGGTTCCACAAAAAGACATGCTCTGGCAGATACTTATCCTTTTACTCGAATCACCCGATGTGCCATAAGATAGGCACGATTTATGAATTAGTTGACCGAGCTCTCATGCTATCTAACCCTCTATTTTATCGAAAAAACTTAGAATGGTGCATTGACGTATTGATTGACAATAGATATCCTGTAGAATTAATCTTTAAAGTCATTAACAATAGAATAAAAACCATCATCCAAAAACAAAAAAACAATGAACATACTACAGAAAAAGAGGGGAAAAAATACCTTGTTTTTCCTTACATTAAAACCATATCGAAGACCATCGGATCGTTTTTTAAAAAATCCACACTAGCATTAGGACACAGACTATTAAACAAATTATCTAGGTTTATAAAAACGTAAAAAGACATCACTCCAACTATGTGCAAAAGTAATGTCGTCTATAAGATTAATTGTAATAACTGCGATGCGTCGTATGTGGGACAGACCAAGAGGAAACTAAAAACGCGAATAAAGGAACATATCAATAACCAAAAACTAGATGAACAAAAGCATTCAGTTATAACTAAACATATGTTAGATTTTAATCATAACTTCGACTGGGACAACACCCAAATCTTAGATATCGAACCATATTCAAACAAAAGACTCATTAGTGAGATGATCCACATCAAGGAACAAAACAATGGCATAAATTCACAAAATGACACTGAACTTTTAGATTCCTCTTATTCTGATATCCTCAATAACATAAAAACAAAACATCATGGTCACCGACCCCCACATCATACACCAATACAGTAGAAGACTTGAATATCGCCTTAGTCGTTTTAAATAATTGACAAGAGGAACATCACAGCGATGCAGATCGTCCTACAAAATCACTAAGTCCACCTAGCGAATACGGTATTCACACGTACTAATGTGCAATACGACTCGGACCTGACCAGGACAAGAACCTCGCCATCACATTCATAATTTATACGCTGAAGAAGACTCAGTATAGTCGAAACGTCGTCCGTTTAATTATTTACTATCCGTCAGTTAATTTTAAAAATTTCGCTATTTAACAACTTCTATTTATTATCTAATGTTATATTTAATCTTAACTAAACCTAGGGTTAAGAGAGGAAAATTCCTCGAACTTCGAATTCATGTATTCCACGTTACTTTGCTCATTGAACTTTGTAATTAAACATCGACTCGATCATATTACTTATCGCTCGTAAAATATATTGGCCTAAAGGTTCTTTACTCTTTTTTATAAATAAGACGAGCTTTTACTTAATCTTAATTATATATTTTATTATAGAGATCGACTGTATACAGAATCTTAGGAAAAAAGGAAGTGGAAGGCCACGTAAACCCAGGGCCATATCTTGGCGCACAAAGATGCACAACAAGAGAGGAAGACGAGAGAATTGTAAATACGATTAGACAGGCTTCCAATCATCAGTAAAAGTATGAAAAAAGTACCAGTTTCGTTGGGCGCGTAAATAATTAGAGACGACTTTTAGGAAGGCGGCGAATGAAAAAAATAGAGTGACTACATTACTGCAGTCACGTGATTTATTCGCAGTCTTTATAAGTCTTTATAAATCTTTATAAATCTTTAAAACTTGCAATGTTAACACTGTTTCAATTTACACTTATGTATTATTGTTAGAAGTGTTTTTAATACTTCTGTCACTTTTCCCTTACAATCTGTATTTTTGTTATACAGTTACAAGTTACCAACTCTGAAAAGTAACGCGTTACATAGTACTAAAACATATATAGTACTAAAGTACTAAAAACATATAGAGGGGAAGGGGTAAAGATGGCGAGGAGGAAAGACGTACAGTGAGAAGGCGGAGTGAAAAAGGTAGTGAAAGGAAAGATTGGAGAGGAGTGATCGGGAGACGGAGGAGGTGATGGAAAGAGGAGACGGAGAAGTGACAGTGGAAATGGAGGAGAGAAGAAAAAGTGAAGGATAGGAGAGAAAATGAAGTGGAAAGTGAGAGGAGCGGGCATGAGTCGGCAATCAGAAATAAAGAGGATGGAGGTGGTGGGAGAGAACAGAGGCGAGCGAGAATCGATACGGAGAAGGAAGAGGATTGGACGGAAGGTTCGAGAGATCGATAGAAGTGGTGGTGGGGAGTGATGAGGCCGAGTGCGAGAGATCGATGGACGGGAGAGAAGGCGATTGGTTGGTGAAAGCGAGAGATCGAAAGGGAGGAGAGAGGAAACGGAGACAGGACGATAGGAGGCGAGAGAAAGTGAAACGTGCGGAGAGAACGAAAGATGATAAGAGAAAGGAGGGTGCAAAGAGGAGACGCGGGATGGACGACGAGATACGAGTAATTGAGAGGCCGACAAGGAGGAAGAGGAGGTGGAAGGAGAAGGTATACAGGAGTACAGAAGGAGCAGGAGAGGTGACAGGCAGTACAGATGACAGGACACGTGAAAGTGAGAGCGGAAGAAAAGGCAGAGGTGAAGACGGAAGCAGAGGGAAAAGAGAAGGAAAGGTGAGGGAGGAGACGATAGTAGGGAGAGAGGAGGAGAGGAAACGAACGAGGGAGAGGCGAGAGAGGCGGGAGTGGAGAGAGCTGGGAGAACGAGAGGAGAGAAGGGGGAGAAGCAGCAAAGAGGAGACGTGGGCTGGACGACGAGATTCGAGAAATCGAGAAGTCGACCAGGAGGAAGAGAAGGTGGAAGGAGAAGGTGTACAGGAGTGCAGAAGGAATAGGAGAGGTGACAGGCAGTACAGGAGACAGGGCACGTA